ATGGCAGCAGAGGAGTAGTAGTGTTCATACAGATTCTCCTCTGCTGTCGGTTTAACCGGAAATAATAATAATAATAATAATAATAATGCTTTAGTAATGCTACAATAATAATACTGAAAAAAAATATTTACCCATATTGTGTTATGCTGCCAATCGTGTTTATATGATATTAATTGTCTACCTAGTAAGTACCTATACATACTTTGGTGTTAAGCAGTTAAATTGTTAAATATAAACTACAAAGTCCGCATAAATTGGTTACTAAAATCTATAGCTATTACAATATAATATCACAGAATAGAATAATGTGGAATAGAATAATAAAAAAAATAGAATAATAAAAAATATTAATGATAATATTCAACAAAGCCGCTAAGATTCGGTCATCTTTCTYAATATCATCTGGCATTGAGTTCAGATAGTTACCAGCAATACCAGCTGCATGTAAGTAGGTACCAATACAAGTATACATATATTTATATTTTACACTTCCTAGTTTCCTACCTACGTAATATATTATTATTTATACAGTAAAAAGATTAACCTTGTACATTAAATTATGATCTGATACCTCGCCGGAGGTATATATAATTTTACAAGAAAATACACTGTCACATAATTGATCCGTATATGAAATTCAACACAATTATTAGGTAAGTACCACTAGTACCAGCATTACTACATTATATAACACTGGCAGTTTAGTGTGAAATATATTTTATTATAATAATATTGTACGATTGGCTGATGATGATAGATGAATATAGTAAATATTAAATAATATTTCTAATATTGGCATTATATTAAAATGGTTAAAACACACACAGAYTTGGACACCCTTATATAAGTTAAACTTACAAGTTATTATGTTATACGTATTGTAGGGAACCATACATGATAATATTCTATGGACAGACTTACCGCCGATGTATTATACTACACTCGCACGTCTGGTGGAACTGAACGGGACGCAAACACAACTGTCAGAACGAAACGAGATAAATAATATAATATTATTGTTGTTATTATTGCGTATACCGAGTACACGGCGAGATCGAAAACCACTTGAATATAGTTATAATACTAAATTATACACTCTTCAGGCGTGCCGTTCGTACTGCTCGTAGTATACACGACTGATTAAAAAAATTATGTGCATTGTGCATGTACACGCCACGCGTGGTCGCGCATGTTATAATAATATTGCTGTCGTTGTTGTTGTTTTTGTCGTCGTCGTTGCAAGTGTGGTGGTCTGTCACGGCATTGATTACGGTGTTATATGTTATATCATTTGTTTAATAATTATAATCGTCATCAATTACCTAATGTAATTAATTCACAATGGCATTGMTATTAATGATTTATGTCTTGTTATTGTAACGGCTAATGATTATGATTGGGATACATTGCGCACAGGTTCCGTAAACGGTGAGACGCAGCCGCCGAACTATAGCGCAATCGTCRTTGTTTGCAAATAATTACAACGATAAGCTCGCTTTCATACTTATTTACTTTTCATATATAAATATATACAGGGTGATTATTAAGTATGACCCCCCTCCCATTTTACCCTTCGATAGTTCATTTAAGAAAATTTAGTTTTTAAGTAGGTGTTTTTTAATTAGGCATCTATACCTAATAAAGTCCATATTTTCAAATTTCTGGTAAGTATATAATATTGTATTACTGTATGTTTGTTATGTTACTATTTTGAGTACTCTGTAGTGACAAGTGATACAAATTTCTATGTTTCAATTGTGTATTTAAAATAAAACTCCCCTTTCTGACCACTAATTATTTAGTGGATGATTTTCTGTAAAATTTTGATGT